CATTCTTTATATACTATATTCTATATGAATATCAAAATTTTTTTTTAAAGACAAACGTTTATATTTTATATACCATTCTTTATATACTATATTCTATATGAATATCAAAATTTTTTTTTAAAGACAAACGTTTATATTTTATATACCATATCACTAACTGTAGATATTATTTATCATCAACACATGGTGAAATGAAATGTTTAAAATTAAGAAATAGAAAAAATTTTCATACCTTATAATTTTTCGTAGAGTATCTTAAAAGATCTTCTTTTATATTCATAATTTTATGATATTCATAATTTCAGATCTTTTCCTTCTCACATACAATTAATATTTAATGTTTTATTTTCCTTTCATATCATTTAACTTTTATTACTAATCTCAGCACAAGTCAATGGTGCACTTGAAGCATAATTACAGTATCTTCAGGACAGATGTGCAAGCCTTTGGAAAAATTATCTTACCTGAGAGCAAGATTTTAAGCCTTGAGAACTGACACAAAGTATGATGTAGATTTAAAAAAAATGCTTAAACATTTCATTTATGCATTTTAAAACTAAATTATGTATAATTAACTAAGATATAAAACCAAAACCTAAATGCAATTTATCTCTCTAACTATAACATATTCAGGTAAGGAACAACCGTAACTGCTATCATTGATGGAGCAGCCAACAACACTAGAGGCAGTTACATCTACCCTATGACAAAAACTGCACCCCAAATTCAAAATAACCATTGTTGGATTATAGTGGAAAATTAGCTCTTTCTACTAACTATATACATATGTATGTAACTTCTACATGTAAGCTATAAGGCTCAAGCAAATGTATTGAAGGTGGGCATGGTACCCTTCAGAGGTTGACAAAATTAATTACTTCTTATTAATAATGCATTCATCCAGAGAGTCCTAACATTTTCACCATTAAGTATGAAAAAAGATGATGCATCAACACTACCAATTCCCTTAACAATGTTAAACACCTCAATCCAATCCCCCCATAACTCTTCGTTTTTCAAGAGAAAACAATTTCAGAGATCTTAACCTCTCCTCATATTACAACCCCTCCATCCCAGGCACCATTCTAGTAACCCTCCTCTGAACCCTTTCCAATAATTCAATGTCCTTCCTAAGGTAAGGAGCCCAAGACTGAACACAATACTCCAAATGTGGCCTAACTAGTGACCTATGTATGACATTGATTTATTAAAAACAAAATATTCCCATAAACTATTTCAACTTACTTAATTGTTCCTTTGCTCTTAATAATATTTTCAATTTCTCTGCACCACGAAGCATTACTGCTTGTTGGTGATAAATCTCACAATACTTGTGTATCCAGGTTGTTCGGTGATCGCTGTTACCCAAATGTTCAGCCTTCTGGTTCAAAAACACATAAAATTGGAATTATAATGTGATTTGACAGAGACCTACATGTACTCATCTCATTTTAAATATTACTTCTGGTTTTCTTTTAATGACCAAGTATATTTTTCATATTGAAAGTACTGAGAATATAGTTCTGTAAAGAATTAGAATCATTATAATAGTGTAACAGACCTTAAAAAAAGTAAATATCAATATTTGAAATGAGGTCATAATGGAAACTACAATATAAATCCAAATCGGCAGTTCTAGGTGCTGAAAAAAGATAAGAGAGCACAAAACTCTTTGCCAGTTCTTTCTTCAACTTTTGTATTCTTATCACCTGATGATACCATGTAAACACTAGTGAAATGTCATGTGTTATATCAACTTTGTTTTCACAACCTAGTTTTACCAATCAAGTTTGTTTGTGTCAGGTATTTGCACAGAATTACAGAAGGATTATCAGCACAAGCCATTCCTAATTTTGAACTGACAGCACCCACCACCAACTCTTGGGCTACTATAATAAAATAATCAAATAGTGGGTTTAGAATGTCACTTATAATGAACGTATGGCCCCAAAATGCAGAGTTAGTTGATTTTTTTTGCGACAACGGAACACAAACTGCAAGCCCTCAGATCTACAGTATAGGATGTAAACTACTAGGCCTAAATTTTGTCAAAGCATATTAACTTTAATATAATCATAGAAAATATTTCATTTAAGATATGACTTACATTTTTCAAACCTTTAGGTGCCGTCAAGATTAAAAACACTGAGAAACAAGTCTGTAGGAACACATATAGTTGGATGTCCATACTAACTATTGATGCATTGACAGCATAACTTTACTAATAAATCTGCTGACAATATAGCTGTCACAGATGGACTTACAAAATAATTTAAAATGACTCTGAAAGACACGTCTGTTTGCTTCAAAAATAAAATAAAACAGTGCACCAACTTTAGCAAATGAGAACTAAAAACCATATCTTACTTTTTGCCATTGATTGTAGTTTAACCAATTTCATATTATAATACACTTTATAATCTTTCCTCCAATGTTTTCCCTCACAACAAATTACATTTGTAAATCTTAATATGGATATTAATTTGTGTTAAATAACTCTTTTAAATTAACCCATATTTGCTCAGAGAAAAGAGAAACTAATCACTACATTATGGGTAAATCAAATTTAAGTTTTAAGCTGATCTCAGCTTTTCTAGAACTTTTTCAAACAGCATCTTCATATCAAGAGGTTAATACACAACTACAAGTTTAGTATACCTTGTTCAACCATTTTAGGTGTTTTGAAGCTACAGCTATACAGCCCTGCTTACAAGCACTGTCAACAAAACGTAATTTTAGAAGAAATTCCTGTTCTATAATATCAAGAGTTGTTCGAGATAACTCCTCTTGAGACAGCGTTTTCATGGATGAGTCAGCAGCAGAATCTTGGTCTGGAACAGATCCTACAACTTTCTCTCTGAGCTTTTCCATGAACATGATTCTAGGTGATTAACATGTTGAAAAATACTATTATTTTTTTTAAGTCAGATATATTTCTTTGGAAAAACTATCTTTGAACTGACATGAATATGTTGACTGCCTACACAATCCCTCTAAATATATAACTGGAGTATACATGATAACTGAAGGACAACAAATATCAAAATCAAGGGATATGCAAGCACTAATCATACATACTGTATATGGCCTCGGAAAATCACACATTATAATTAAAATGCCACAGTTTTGTAATGTTGAAATAATATTGATAAAAATTAAATGTAGCATATATAATTCAGTTTTTTTAAAAGCATTTATGGTGTTTCTGAATACAAGAAGATATTAAAGTTAAAGCTGATTTTCAAGTGTTCCTGTGATTTTTTATGTACACAGCTCAAACAGAGCTTTTAACAGTCAAAAGCCTTCATGTCTAAAGTTTATCATTCTTGTTTTTAAGCAATATATTTATATTAGCATATCCAAAGATCTGATCACTGAAAAGTTTATGTACACATAAAATATGATCATGCATGATTTATCGTGTATAATCACTCTAATAATTTACTGTATTGTTATATGTCCACAAGGATAAATACTGAAATGTTAGTAACAGAACAAAACACTAAAGTTGAAATATAAAGTGCATCCTGAATACATTGCAATGAAGAAGCAACAGATTGTAACAAATCTCCCTTTTGTTCTGATCTTCAAGTTTGAACTGCTTGAGAAACACCTAACGTGTAATTAATCATCCAACCTGTTTGTCACGATATCGTCCCACACGTGTAACGGATCTGCCACTGATGGTAACCGTAATTCCCATTGTTTCAAGAGAGATTTTGCTGGTCTCTCAGAGTTAAAGTTATCTGCAAAAGAAAAACACAAAACACTTAACAGATAAGGTATGTAAAATCATTCAAGAAATGCATATCACTAATTACGGTCAAAAACACAATAGATGCAGGATATTAACACATCAGCTCTCACTTTACTGCTGCATTGCTAGTACTATAAAGTAGCAGCTTTATTCCCCACTTATCTACCCCCTTAAAACATCAGTCAATGTGCCCCATGAGAAGAAGGTGTTCAAATGCATTAATAATAGTAATTTTGTTCTGTATTTTGAAATTTTAAGTGAAGCGCACTTCTGTAGAGTACATAGGTGTGACTGTAGTACACAGTAATGGAAACTAGGAAAGAATTCTTTGAAACTTAAAACTTGTATATTTGTTTGGAAGATGAAATGGGGGCCAAAAATAACTCAAATGTTTGAAGATAGTACCCCCCTTAAAGATGAAGGTCTCAAAAATTAGCTGCCATATGCTGAATATGCATACATACTTACAAAAATCAGCCCTCAAAATTGATACAGTACTGAAGACATTCATTCTGTATCATCTCAAAACATTCATCAATGCTCAGCCCCATTTTACAATAAAATCTGTAACTACCTCATATATGTCAACTGACCATTAGGACCCTTTACTGTGGGGTGTGCTATGGCTCACTCTAAACATTCTCCAAAGGCAGTTGTAGCACAATAACACGTGCCTCTGATGAGATGCAACAAGTTTACCCATCAGGTTAAGTAATTTTTGAGTTTCTGGTGTTCTAGCCTCAAGTGTTTCTTGAACACTATAAATAACCAGCAATATAAATCATTCCCATATGTCACTATCAGTATTTTATAATGCAAGAAGTATAAGTATATTTTAAAGAAAATGCAACAAAGGAGGAAAAATACTTGACAACTACAAAATGCCATTTCTAAATCTTAAAAAATGTTTATTTTTTTTAATCTGTTATGAAGCAGAACAGTCAGCAGAAAATGATTCTAATGGGGGCCACCAAAACCAGATGTTGTCAGTCCCTCCAGATGTCTAGTGGGGTACAAAAATCTCTCAATACGTGACTTACAAACAGATTTTGTCAGACTGGTTTCGAGTAAAACACATACCATAAAATATGCACCACACATGAAAGAACATAGCAAAAAATAAATAAGAGAAATGAGGGTAGGTGCATGATTTCAAAAGCAGTACACAGTAAAGAAAACATGCTTGTTACTATTGAATGATAAAATTTAAAAGTGCACCAGAAAATAACAAAAATAAAACCCTCACACTAGTTGCTTTCTAAAGAGGCACATCTGTGAAGATGTAGTTTTTTTAACATCTTGAATACATCTCAAAAAACTGTCACATTACAAAATTTACCACGATAAACCGGTGAACTTAGATCATTAATACGCTCAATATGAATACTGTGAAGAAGATGGAAAGATATTATTTAACAACCACTTGTATATTAAATAAAGATGACAATTCTGGACAAGAATCATTCAAAATAAGGTCCAGGCAGAGTTAAATACAGATAACAAATGTCTAGTTATAACAACAGATATAGTTTAATCACTTCACAGAAGTATGGGAACAGAAGTGATTAAAATCCCACTTAATGTCAAAATTTTTATGTACATTCCATTTAATTAGTCAATTATAAATTCAGAATCAGAAATGTGTAAAAAAAAACAAACCTCCAAATATTCTTTCGTTATCATAAGTCCATCCCATTTTATAAGTCCTATTATTAAACAAAAGACCTCACAAGAAATAAATTGAAATCCATGACATACTAACTATATAGGCATGTGGGAGAAAATATTATTTGGTCAAGAATAATTTTAATTTCTTTTATTGGGCGTAAAAACCTTCCTTACTTTTCAAACTTATGTCATTGCAAGAATAACAAAATCAAACAGAAGCTTGTAGTTTCTACAGAGTATTAGACAACATCTAAACACTTCTGTTTCACTAGTTTGTGATAATAAGATTATATGGAACAGACTTTGAAAGCTTCTTCTAGTCCCTAGGAGAAAATCTGGTAAATTATGTCTACTAAACAGTCCATTCAAACAATACCATGGGAAAAGAAACAAGAAAATATAGAGTGAAGAAGTGAAACAAATCTTGGAAGGGGTTGGGTTTTATTGAGAAATAGTTACATAAAATGATTTACCATGCATATATGTTGAATAATAAGTCAAAAAACATTCTCACAAAAAAAGGTTAGTTTAAATACAGTCGGATGCTAAACAACGAGAAAAAGCCTGTTTTTAGAAATAAAAATATGGTTTTAGCTCCAGAAATAATATTAAGACTTTAAAAGTGATGCATTAATTAGATATAAAGGAATAAACATTAAATAGATTGAAGCAATTATAGCAAAATAATTCATGTCAGAAAGAAGTCTTGCTGTAGTAGGATCAAGTATGCACAACTTGTCCCTTTTTATGTGTACCACCTTAAAATTGGAGAAAAAAAAAGTTATATTTAATGTATACAGAGCAAGGAGCCCTCAAAGCAAAGAAGACTAAGCATCACACACACACAAACACTGAACATGAAGATGAAATATCTTAAAACTAAGAACTTACAGTGAGGTTTTGGTGATTGGATATCAACTGTTGTCATGTTTAGTAGTCTATATGATATACAAGTCTAATTAATAATTTGTCAACTTTTTTTCAATAGGATATGAACCGTACATGGAAAAAAAGAAAGAAAAAAAGAAGCTTCTATGTCCAACTAACTAATATCTCTGTCAGAATTTAAATATCTGAGCTTTGCCAATTGTCGAAATAAAAAAAGATTTAGTTATATTTCTTAATAGTATAAATATATACTACGTTGTTGTTGGGCTTAGGATTCTTCTACAGTAGGTGTCTGTGACTTGTTAGCGATAAATTCAATGATGAATAAACAGCATGCACTTCACTTGTTTTCAAAATAATACATATATTCAGAACAAGTTAACGTATGTGCAATAAATTCTTCAATACTATAGATATTATGGACATATCATAAATACTATATATGTAGTTCTCTCCTTCTTGTCAAATATCCACTTAGGCCTATTCAATTACTTTAGAATTTCAGTTGAGAAGCCGAACTATCTTCTATTTTTCTACCACACTAGTATTTTCTGGGTTCACTTAAAATTGTGGCGCGAGTTACCATAATCATTTGGTCTTCTTTTTTGAAGAAGATTCTCTGTTCCTTTTGTCAAAGTGCACTCAGGCTGATTCAATTACTTTAGAACCACGCTTTGATGGAATAAAATTATTTTTCTTATCTTCTTTTCTACTCTTAGTTTCACTCTAACCTATTAAACATTAGACCTGTGTCAATCATTAGGCCTATAACTTCTACGATAGTTAACTTCATACTGACTTTATTCTCTTTTGCTATTATCTGTCTGCTGCTTCCCTCTCATCTCACGCTACTTATATCTTTATTACCTAATCATCTGTCCACCTTCTATATTCTCGATGTTAATATATTGCATGTGATGTTCGATATTTTCAACATCAATGAATTATTAACAAGACTTCCTACAATCATCTGCTTTTAACTCTTATTATAACAGAAATTAAACAATAATAAAACATTCACTTACAAAACTAAATTAATGAATACTATCTGAATAAAACAGTCTTTTATATAATGACAATCACACTGAGTCAACCCAGCAGAGAAACTGGCAAAACATAGATACCCCTCTTGAAAATAAACGGTTAGTTGGTTCAAGTTATAAGTGAAGTGGATAATGCACCAGACTTCCATCACGACTGTTAGTCAACATGTAGGATAAACACTAGTTAGCAATCAGTATCTAGTTGTATAAAAAAAGTTATTGATTATTAATTAGTCTTAGGTGATCATATGAACTACTTACTAACCATTTTTTATTTGCACCAGATATTATCAAATATAATACAAAGAATATTAAAGAATGTGAAAATAAAAAATTAAGCTTTTTAATTATAGTTTATAATTAAGATTAACCACAAAAGAAATATTCATGAAAATAATCTTTACATTTTTAATCACTAAATAGTAACGCAGTTGACCCTTGGCCATAGAGAGAGACAAATATTCTAGTATGTTCATACACTTTGGTGGTCTTACATAAGGTTTGAATCAGAATCTATTTCTAATGCTTAAAATTTTTTGTTGATTTCTAATATCAATTATGTTTGTGGCATATTTTTGCAACAACTATTTTAATAAATGTCATCAGACTAGGGAGTTGATAAAGATTTCCTCATGTTAGGAAGTTGTTTTGCAATTACTTGGTATTGAAAACTTAAATGAGTCAGACAGTTTTCTTTTATCACCCTAATGACAAAAGTTAGAATCGCTCCTTACTTTCTTCAGCCATGAAGTCCAAAAATTGTTTTAACTCCACAAGTTTCTGCAAGGAATGAAGTTTGCTTTCTCTGACACCGGGTGTCATGATGCTTAAAGATGACCAGTCCTAAAAAAAGGTTTAAGACATGAATTGTTTGATTTAATAATTTCAGATTTTCCAAATATTTAAATGGAGAACTAAAACGGTTCTCCCTTTTATAAAATTAATTAAAAAATTATATAATAACTTATCAATTATGCAAACATAATTTTTCTGTTATAAATTTTTTTAATATAAAACCATGACTGGTCAAAACAAGGTGTGCAAATCCTCTAGTTTCTAAATCAAACATTTACAATAACTTTAATATTATAGATTTGTGAGTAAAACAACAAGCAGATAAGTTTAGAACAATGATTTTAGGAGCTACCAATTTTAATAATGATGTAATTTAATCTCTGAATCATTCTTAATCATTTAACCTTTTTTATGATACTGATACATGTAGGTAACTGCATACATTTCTAGACTAAGTTTCCTTTATTTTATGACAACTTGCTTCAGAAAATTAATAATAAAATAATAAATTTAATGATTTCAGGCCAATGAATATGTGAAAAATATTATTATGGATTCCCACAAACACACACACACATATATATATATTATTATTATATGTTATTCTATGTGTTACTTTAATTCTCACAAATTTACACAATTGCACAAGTAATAGATAAGCAAAATAGGGACATCATTATACAAAAGAAATTAATAACTGAAGCTTTTTCTAGCAGTACTTTACATTATGAAGGTTTCACAAACTTATGTGGTGACACACACACACAGAGAAGACGGGGATCTTACAATGGAAGTGTTTCACACACAGAGAGAAAATGGGTCTTACAATGGAAGTGTTTCACACACACACTCACAGAGAAAATGGATCTTACAATGGAAGTGTTTCTCACACACACACAGAAGATGGATCTTACAATGAAAGTGTTTCACACACATATAGAAGACAGGGATCTTACAACTGAAGTGTTTCATACACACACAGAAGACAGGGATCTTACAACAAAAGTGTTTCACATACACAGAAGAGAGGGATCTTACAATGGAAGTGTTTCACACACAGAGAAGACAGGGATCTTACAACAGAAGTGTTTCACACACAGAGAAGATGGGGATCTTACAATGGAAGTGTTTCACATACACACACACAGAGAAAATGGATCTTACAATGGAAGTGTTTCACACACACACACAGAGAAGATGGATCTTACAATGAAAGTGTTTCACACACACACAGAAGACAGGGATCTTAAAACAGAAGTGTTTCACACACACAGAAGACAGGGATCTTACAATGGAAGTGTTTTCCTTGGTCAACAAATGTCTGTTCTTCTCTTTTGGTAATTCATGGGTATACGTAACATACATTCAAACTTGTAACTGTTTGTTACCTCTTCTTAAATATCATCTAAATCAGTGTTTCCCAACCATTTCTTGCCAAAGGCACAGCAACTTTAATAAAAATGTTGTGTGGCCTGCCCCAGCACCTTATGAAAACTCAGCCTAACACACAACAATTCTTATTACCAAGTGAACTACAGTCATTGCCAAAAGAGCAACAACACAGAATACACTTTGGTTCCTTCCACAAAACTATTTATATATAAACAATAATTTTCTTTTATTTATTTTTCACGTGTGACTTTTCCGTAATCTGCAGCACACCTGTTCCTGTCTGACGACACATCAGTTGGAAAACACTGATCTAAACTTTTCTACGGTCAAAGTCAACTCTAATTATTAAAGAGCACAGACTTGGGAACATACTTGAAGAAATTTTTGAAGACAGGAAGTACTATAGAACCGAGCACGATCATAGTCTTCTTGTATAACATACAACAAGGCAAGCTCTTCTGTAAAGTGCTCCTGAAAATGAGATAAGTACTTCAAATCTAACAAATTGTCTGACAAAATCTGTGCCAACTAAAATAAACTGTACAACAAAACCAAGAAATTTAAACAACGACTATTTATCCACAATGACTAACACACTTTTTAACCTGATGGTTTCCTATGACAACCTCTCCAACCAGACATTAATAATTTATCCTATGCACATTCTTCAACACTAACTTACCTATTTAGTACATGATTAAAATCTGTTTTATCAAATGTTTTTGAATAAAACCTTACCAATCAGACGTAAATCATGTTTCCCATGCATGATATTCAAAACACCATTAAAATAAAGCAAAACAGACTGTGCAATGGACGATTTTACAAAACCAAACATAATTACTGTTTCCTACATCAAGTTTTAAATGTACTACACTTTAACAAGAGAATTACCTAAACGCAATATATCCTATATCAAATTGCTAAAAATAATGTGAAAATCATCCCAAAATGTCACACTTGTGAAGGACAACATAATAAGCTAATTAAATTCTACCTTATAGTACATTTCTAAAGATAATGTAAAAGCAAAAACTTGTAAAAGACATCTTTGCAAACTAAGAATAAGTTTAATCTTTAAAGACAATGTTCAAAACCAAGTTAAATACCATATTTTAACAGATGTAGCCTTAAACATTAGACATAAATAATGTATTTTATATCAAGTTTCAAAACATAAATTCAATCTGAGGCGTCTTTCTTGAACTTGAAAATGAAGACGTTATAAACCATTCAAAAATTAAACTGTTGATATATGCACAAATTAAAATAGAATACAGTAACTTTACATTAATATCAGGTTGTTGAACAGTATAAACCTCACATTTTGTATATGATAAAAAATCTTAAAATAATGAAATAATATTTAAACATCAGATTCTTAGTATAAAGAAACATCACTGGGACATCTTTCTAAACCAACTAGTAACACCTCACTGTTGTATAAAATCTTTAATATTACATAGCCATGCTTATGTAACCTCATTGTCTCGAGGCAAATCTTTAACATATCAGTGGGACATCTTTCTAAACCAACTAGTAACACCTCACTGTTGTATAAAATCTTTAATATTACATAGCCATGCTTATGTAACCTCATTGTCTCGAGGAAAATCTTTAACATATCAGTGGGACATCTTTCTAAACCAACTAGTAACACCTCACTGTTGTATAAAATCTTTAATATTACATAGCCATGCTTATGTAACCTCATTGTCTCGAGGAAAATCTTTAACATATCAGTGGGACATCTTTCTAAACCAACTAGTAACACCTCACTGTTGTATAAAATCTTTAATATTACATAGCCATGCTTATGTAACCTCATTGTCTCGAGGAAAATCTTTAACATATCAGTCGTAATTAAATATTATCTTGCAGCTAATGATTATATCACTTCATCTTTTTTTTTATAACTTTATGTTTATAACTAAACCATGATCATATCACTTTATGCATAAAAAAATCTGACATAAATGTAACAAGTTAAGGTTAATAAGCAAAAATTATTACCTCAATGTACTCCTTTTTATCAGGATCTTGCATTGAATTATCAAAAAATGACAAAAGAGATTGATCTTGTCTTTCTTCTAGAAGTTTCTTCAGTTTTGATCGAACCATATAAGGCAGATAATGTTCCTGGTACAGCAGTTGAATAGGTAAAGAGAGGTGAAAAATTTGTACATACTTTTTCTCTTCAAATTAAACTCCTTACAAACGTTCATATAGACTTTAAACTTTATACCATGTACAAGAGTTGAAAAATATTTTTACAGAAAAGATAGCTGAAAATAATTTAAACATTGATTTTGTGAATTTTAGGAACCTTCTATGAATGGGGAAATTATCTGATGTGTTTTTTTTTATGACATTTTGTCTCTGTTCCGTAGATAACCTCAACAAAGAGATTAATATATCATCAAATGAGAACACATGAAATATAACAGTTCTAAGATACCCAAAACATTTCTGTTTAACTACTGTTGTAGTTAACATTTAACTACAACCAGGCAAACTATGATAATAAGTTGGCAAACAATGATTTATAAGCATAATTAAGTGATTTATTTAAGAGGAATATATAGTATCTCCCCCCCCCTCTTAATTTTGCTTATAAATCATTTTTGGCCAACTTATTATTATATTAGCATAATGTGCTTCCTTACTCAAGCAGGCAAACTATGAAAAAAAAAAACTTTCTTTAGTTAGAATTATATTACATCCTAAGCTCCACCAGAACTTCTCACAATGTCATGACACCTCACAAGGCAAGGCTCTTTGAATAAAAAATGGAAAATAGAGCTTTCAACTTGTCCATTTCTACACATGACCAACATGCCTGACATCATACTGAGACAACCTCAACAGGATATCCAGCAAACAGATCAAATACTGGGATGAAGTTTTTATGAAATAAAGATATATGTTTAGTTAAAAGATGTTATCTTCACAGCTCTGTTTTTTTTTCTTCTGGAAAATCACTACTTTCAGGTCATCAGCTTTCTTGTGACCGATCATTGGTCAGTGCGTGCTTCCTTAGATAGTGCATAATAGTTTTTAGAAGAAGATACATACAGTGAATTATACTAAATTCATAGCCAAAGTATTATTCAAAGCTAGTTATCACTGAAAAAAAAATAAAAATAAGTCAAGAATTTCTCAGTATTTGTGATAATATTCAAATACATTTTTGGAATTTTAAGACTATATTAAAAAACAACAACTTTACTTTCACTGAAAAGTCACCTATAAATCCAAAGATATTAAATATCGGATCCCATAACGGTTATCGTGGAATACCCTGAAGTTAAAATGATGTTACATTAACTTTCTTTATTTCTAAATGATTGGGTTCATAATAAAAAAAAACAATGCACAAAGCAACAGAATCTTCATCCAAGCCTTAATAATCATAGGTTTAATATTTTAAAAGTAGTTAAGCTTTGATAACCATATGTTTAATGTTTTAATAGTAGTTAACTTGCCTGCCTAATCAGAAATGAGTTATGGTTTAGCCATCAAAAGGGGGCAATGAACTGGAATCTAATATGCCTAATATATACAAGATAAATAAAAAAATTGGAAATTTA